TCATTTATAAAATCTATCGCTTGCCGTTTCGCTGACCAGTGCGTGTTTATGGAGGTGACGTGAAAAAAGATCATCGACCTTGTTTAAACTAAGTTCTGACTCCGTTCAGGATGCTGTATATATATATATATATATATATATATATATATATATATATATACAGCATCCTGAACGGAGTCAGAACTTAGTTTAAACAAGGTCGATGATCNATAGTTAGCACCGGCTTGCGAATAAGCATGGTGCGAATGCCACAGCAATAATAACAATGACGTTAGGGGGGTTGGGATACAAAACCTAGGATAAAAGACGGAACTGATAAAAAGAAAAGTACGAGTGATTGGGATAACAACTTTGTATGCGTGTTTCACCGTACTATTTTTGAATTTTTTCTGTATTTTAGTTTATCATTTTTTTATAGGGCACGGGGCTACAATAGGCGGATCGCACTACATTCTCGCCACTGACTTCTATTCTGGGCCATATCTCTCTCTCAGCGTATCTAACCAACGACAATCCTCATCCCTTGGGCCCCAACTTGGAAGGCGGTCTGCAGCAACCGAAACCAAAGCTGAAACCCATTCGATTGTTCAGAGGCACCAGGCACTCCTGATGGTCTTAGATTTGGGTTTCACTCCTTGGGAGCTAGTTAATTCCCCACAATTTGAATGCATTCACATGCGATATGTCAATGTTTGTGTTGACCGACAAAGAACACTGGACAGCTGTGTCGTCCTGTTCGAGAATCTTCAGCAGTGCATAATTTTTGTGCGTCCCTGTCAGGACTCGGATAGGATACTGTGCTTGCAATTGGTGAAAATGGATTTGTCGGTTAGGTCGTTTTTAAACAGAACTGAATGTTTCGTGGATAACAGTAGGAATGCAGCGCGTGGTTGCAGAATGCCTTATCGAGCATGGGCCGCAAATCCCCCAGCCTCCTAAGACTACTGTCGAACGTCGTCTAGAAGTGGCTACAGGCAAATTGTCAAGGTGATTGAACAGCGATAGCCCCGATACCGGGACCCGTTGATTGGAACCGGAGATATTTCAGTTTGCACAACCATTACCGTGCACTGTCGTGCGCCACTTTTCGTTGCTGTTTCATGGGTGCCCATTTGGATGAACAGTAAGAGAAAGACAGGTGGAAAGTGGGGTCGAATAGAAAATGGAGAATTTCAGTGGACTAAAGTTGCCCAAAAATTGAGAAGATACACGAACGCCACTGTTTACGAATGTCGGTGATCCAGAAATTGGCGATGATTAAAGATATGGACCATTAAACCTCGGACATACCGAAAGCGGTGCCGAAGCATGCACCGTTCGCTGCGGCAGACAATCGACGGAGTATAATACCAGCGAGAATTTCAGAGACAATGTTTAGCTGAATATATATATATATATATATATATATATATCACATGCGTCTGAGTTCAGACTGTTCCAAACAAATCACGGTACAATAATCTTTATACAAAGAAAAATAATCCATCATTTGCTCGCGGGTGCGATACTGCCAGGTTACCCAGGTCAAGGCTAACCCACAGGACAGCGAGGCAGTATGTGGGCCAGCGTCCAGTTTTTCGGGTCGTCGATGGCCAGTGGAGCCGGTGGCTACTGCCACAACCAGAAAGATGTGAGCTGTATGTGCTCCGTACTGCTCTTGTTGGTTGCTTTGTTTGGAATCACGAATTTTAGCCAACTCTCTTAAGTGAACTACCAGTGGTTCACCTACTCGGTTATAGCCCTGGATGTTGGCTTTTCGTCCCCTCAAATTTATTGGGAAAACCTCTGCAACACGGGAGGCCAATAGGTAAGGAGGGCTCCCTCATCAGAGGCTATTCGAGACGCTCGGTCGTATAGGAGTACTTCTCAAGGTACGAAGGAACGATGGCCAGTCGCAACCCGAGACACTCATCCCCGGACCATACAGAGGCAATTGGAATTACTCGTACTGACAGTTCGGATGCTATTCCATTTCGCCTTTTCGCCGAGCTTGGCAATCTGTTTGCAAACGTTTCATCACCAACAGCCGAGGCTACTTCACAAGCACTGGTGATGAAACGTTTGCAAACAAATTGCCAAGCTCGGGGCGAACAGACGAAATGGAATTCAGTTCACCCGAGGGAGTTACAAGAATCGATTTTCAGTTCGGATACTAGTTCGGTTGGTGGATCATCCAGGCAGAGCCGATACATAGTTTCAAATCGCGTTAGATTAAAAAACCCACTGAATGCATCCAGAACCCGAATCACTCACATGCTAGCCGGTCATCGGTAATTCCGAGAAAAAGCCACAATCTTTGAAGTGTGCCCGACGACCGACGGATTCGCCAAGGTCTTTCTCTATGTGTGTGTGCCTGTACAGTCCCGACTCGGATCGATGTGGTCAGGCGAACAGTTCACGTTTGTCCGTTTTCTGCATGTTCCATGTTTGTTTGGTGGATCGATAAACATTGTAGAAGTATTCGCAATGCGGTCGCGCTCGTGTGTGTTGAGTTGATACATTCACAGTTGTGTGTGTGTGCGTGTGTGTGTGGTTCGGTACATAGGTTGCGAAACTGGAAAGTATACGTGAGCAGATGTGTATATATTTTTGCATGAATATTCGCATAATGTGTGTACGTATATGACTATGAAAACAGAATAACGTGTTCGTAACTATTCATAGAAGCATTGGATTGTAAATTAGTTTTGACAAAAAAATCCAAAACCCCATGTGTCGCACCACATTGGATTCCGTTTTGATTTCCGAATTCTGTTTCTATGCTTGTCTGTTTGATTTTGCCCAGTTCGAAACAACAAACAGAATTCTCATCCTTTTTCTTTGCTTTCTTCCCACCGGAATGTTTGTTATCTTTCTACTCAATCAGCAAGCTTGTGTTTTTTTTTTATTTTTTAGTTCACCTCCAAATGACTTCAATTGTTTCTACTGCTTCCTCTCTTCCCCATCCCATTGCCACCGCCACCGTACCCGCTTCGTCCCTCAAATTGTGTCCTCAATCGTTGTTGATCGAAATCAGCACGAGGGTCTTCATCCGATCTCTGTGTTGCTTAAACCCCTATCGGTCCTGCATCTAAGAGCCATCCAACGACGTCTGACGGAGGATCAGGCCAATCAGGCCAAACGGAGTATTGATTTGGCTCTGCGACTCGAGGCGGATAATTGGCGTCTGTTCTCCAGTACGCTTATCTCTGGTGTATTTGTTCCCTTTCGGGTATTTTTATTCGTCTTGATCATGAATGTAGTTGCCAGGCTTCTTCCGGTTTTTTTCTGCGTGAATCCTGTAACACTGGATGTGAAACACCCGTTTTGACGTGACCAGAACTGGTCACCAGTGTGTGTGTATTTGTCCACATCGAGGTTCGCGAATCGTGCAAACCTTAGATTCACGCACCTAATCCCTTACTGTCTGATTTGCATGCGTTCTATGAATCAGTCCACATCTGTATGTACGTACTACGTACTGCGAATGGTTTGCATGTCTCTGTCTAATAGTTAACAAATACTGATTCCCTGGACACATGTTACTTGCTTACTTTTTTACTTAACTACGACTGGATCATTGGAAAGGATAAGCCGACTCCACGAATGTCTCTGATTGCCGCCGTAGAAGATATGATCATGTAGTTGCTTGGTAGTTTGATACGAGAGATGTCCTCGGGATATCGCTGAGTGTCGTAACCAATGGCGTTCGTGCATCTTATCAATTTCTTTACAACCTTAGTTCACTGAAATTCTCCATTTCTATTCGTTTCCGTTTTCAATTTTGCTGTCTTTCTCCTACGGCTTCGTGCAAATGGGCCGCCAAACGACGGCAAGGAGAACCGGCGCACGAAAATGCATGGTTAACGGTTGTACTAACTGAACTGAACAGCGTCACCTGGCGTTTTTTAATTTTGACGGCATACCTCTAGCCTTGGCACAACCAACTGCGAATGGTAAGGCATCAGGAAGTAATCCTTCGCCTCAGAAGTGAGGGGGTCAATGACTTCAGCCTTAAAAAGGCCATTCACATCGATCTGTGTCACGACACCGTCATTGGGCTTATGCGGCTTTCAAACAGGAGACAGATGACCAATCTGAAACCCAGCACACCTTGGTAGTGCCGCCTCTGTTTGTTGTTGATTGCTTATTTGTTGCGGTATGCCACAACTTATTCACAACCAACCTCTTCTTCGGTGAAGATATCCATCTGTGCACAATCCGGGACGGGCCTGGTAGCATTCCGCTCCGCTCCGTATATCATCAGATAGGCCTCCTTGACGTGCAACGCTTACCGGGGCAGTCACGTGTTGGTTCAAGGCCGAAACTGGTCGAAATGGGAATGCGAATGTCAAAACGGTGATCAGTAGAATCAGTTTCTGATATTTTTCGTCGAGGACCTCATAATCAGCTTCATAAGTAAACGGTTAAATGGACGGAGTTGTCTGTTGAATAATGCTGCTTTTCGGTTCACTGCTCACTTCCTGAACAGATCTAGTTTATCTTTCTTTCAAATTTCTCATTTCATCAACTTCCGTTCCTGCCTTCCTCATTGGTTGATCATATGAGAACCCGAAAGACGGTGACCAAAATCCTCACACAACGAATGTGAGCTTAGTTCGGTGCATATGCAATTGGACGCTTAAGGCGCATCATCATCGTACAGCGAAATACCGTGAAGCGAACTTCACTGATCACTGCCAAACTCACAATGCATACAAGGTTAGTGGTAAAACTTAAGGTGGACAGGGGTTGGATCTATTTTGAGGACGGGAGAAGAAGATGAGCCACTACGGTCAACACACAGAGTACGCAATAGAACTCTGCATACACACCGGTTCAAGCATCCTGACGTGATAAGAAACGACAACAAGAACGTCACTACTGCCGGTTCGACGCCATATTCTTCAGTGTCTCCAACCAACCAATTGCGGAGTCTTTCGGACCCCAACCTGGAAGGCGAGAGACACCTACTCTGCCTAATGGTTCTGTGCATTTCTTCATGCCTCGTCTCCACGTCATCTGTTGAC